TCTTAAAGCTGGTAAAACCTAACCAAGATTGGAGACTTGTTTTGTTTTTCCCCCAGATTCTCATTTCTGAACTTTTATGCTAAAATCAAATTAAAATATTAGAATACAGAAAGACATGTATCCTTTATCTTTATGAGTTATATGTTATCCTTAAACTTCTTTTTTAGTGCTATCTTTCTTAATAGTCTATCATTTTGAAATATTACAACTTTTATTTATTTTTATAATTCTCTTACTATCACTCTCTTTCATCCTTAATAAATAAATTTTTAAATGTGTAAACCATGTGTCATGCAAGGCAAATATTTTAGAGTTGCTGTGATTTTAATTGCTGTGATTTAATACATACAGAGCATAATATATCTATATAATTAAATTGTATATGTATGTGTATATATATATACATATAGTCAACTATTTTACACTGTTTACATTATTAATCACTTTTGTTTTCCTTTTTAATATATTTTTCTTCATTTTATTTTTCAGTACTCCTACCTTAAGAGTTGAACCACATAAAGTGACTTTGTGCATAATTATAATTTTCAGAATTTAATGTTTACATATATTTTTCTTTTTAAATCTAAGCTATATAAGATTTATTCTTGTTTCAGTATACATTGCAAGGATCACATTGTCAATATTTTAGTCATTTGACTGCAAATGTGTTTTATTTAATTGGTACCTTGAGTAGTCACAAAAATACTGCATACTTGTCTCATCCCTAAAATATAATAAACTTATGTTTGAAAAGATGATGTTTAAAACAACAGAACTCTTAAGTTCAGAGTTCTTATTTCATAGAACTTAATGTTTGTTGCTTTTTTCTTTCTTTTTTTTTTCATTTTGATTATAGGTCCTCCTTGCTTGAGATTCACATAAAACTTTGATAGTCATGTGCAGATCACATGTTGGGTAGCAAACCTGACGGCATGTTTAGGTGAATATTTTGGGTGCAGCAATTTAATTAAAAAAGAAATTACATTTTTTTTTTTAACCACAGATACAGGCTAGATTGTCAAGTCTTTAAATGATGTTTAATTATACTGTAACACAGTTATGAATTATAAGGAAAAATATGTTAACCTAAGTTTAAGTATATGC